GATATACAATAAATGTCTTCTCTTCATAGGACATTGATTTTATTGGTCGAAAAGCTCTAGCGGCTCAAAAAAACAATGGCATTACACAGCGAATTGTATTCTTTCTACTAGAAGACCACGATATAGAAAATGATTTATGGCCATGGGGTGGTGAAGCAATATATCGCAATGGTCAATTCACTGGTTTGACAACCTCCGTCGGTTGTGGATTTACTCTCAACAGGATGGTGGGTTTTGGGTGGGTTACAAATGTTGATGAGAAAACTGGTGAACATCAACTTATCAACAATGAATATGTAATGTCAGGTCATTATGAAATAGAGATTGTTGGTAAAAAGTATCCTGCCAAACCAAGACTGTACACTCCACTAATTCACTAACAGATCCAGACGAGTATACTATGCAGCCTTTGTTAATAAACTTCCCATTTAACATCTTTATGCTATTCAGTCCAAGTTTGCTGATCGTCATTGACTATTGTCACCCTAAATTTTAATATAACATTTTATAATATGACATTATAATAATTTATTAATAATTAGTCTTCCCTGTTACAACCATTGACAATTTAATTGTGATCTAAACAAAGCATATTTTTATTGTTTTGTTTCAATTATGATCAACTACTACTTGCTAGTGAGATTTCTGATTTCTTGTGCACATACGTCCATTTGTTTCACAATCTGATTCAGGATGGCCGAATAGCGGCCATTTTCATGCTTAAAATTCATCAAAAGCAAGCATTTCTGCAATTCCGGAGCCGTAACTTGGTCATATATTGATGAATTTGTTCTAACATGTACCATGGTATTTTGTATTTCTGATCAGATTTGAAATGGCCGACTGGCGGCCATGGTTTTTAGGGCCAGTGCCTTGACAAATCACGTTCATTCACATTTGCATGAGACCAAATTACATTATGTTACAGTACACTACTGTAAATGCATGTAAATTTACATTAATTGTTATAATGGCAAATCTATGTACTCTTAGGAAATATACTCAGATTAGTGAAAGTAAATACAGTAAAAATTAATGATTCAACAGTTTTCACTGAAGGAAATGTTGTATAAAATAAAACATTGACCTGAAAGTTATAAATAAATAAAATTACCGGATTCGGCTGACACCCCACCCTGGGCAATCTTATGGAGGATTTGATTTTTTTTATTAGAAATGTGTGGACCAAAAAATCGCCCGGCAGGTATTATGAAGCCCATCTTGTCTGGAAAAATAACCCTGCGAAAGAGTATACCAAGAGAAACATTTTTTGTGTCATGTTTTCTTAAACGCGTTGCGACTTCACAGTGAATTATTTTTAGCATCATATTTGAAATAGCGTGCTAGATGCAAGATGACGGACGGCAAAATTGGTGTCTGTTAAAATGTTTGTTGGTTCAGTCAGGCAATGTGTGGACTAAAACATCGCCCACTATTTTAAACACCACACATGGGCGTGGTTTAGGATGGATGGGGTATCAGCTGGATACAGTACTACTATTATTTTTCTAATTGCGAATCATTTTAAATTATTTTTACTTAAATACCTCCATGTTGTAATGCAGCTGACGTGCTCTACTTCTGTGAATAACTTTAATTTTACAGTTGTGGTGACTTTTGAGAAATTTAAATTGTCATACTAGTTGTAGTTTGGGTAGTAGTTGGGTTTCATGTAAGGAAAACATGTATTGTACATCTGTCTAAAACCACACAATTACTATCATACTTTAACATTACACAAGTGTATAATATTTGTGTATGAAACTATATTTTCTAATACTTCTTGATGAACTTAATTTCTGAGATTATGTGATATTTGTGTGTACGAGAACCAGACAGTTCTTTTTATTCAGTTTGATGTACATGTATTTATTTATTTAAACAATTATTAATTTTATTTTGTGGATAGACTTCCATGTTTTATCAATAAGTATTCGGAATAAAGTATGTAGCTGAAAGCTTAAAAAAGTCATTCTTGTAAAAAAGGTGTCATCCTGAATAAAGTTAAAAATTCAAAGTTACCCTGTTATGTGATGTTTTACCAGGTACCTCTCTGTCTTTGATTTTTTTAGTACCCGTTCGACAAAGTTTGAAACAGGAACTTATAATTCCGTCTCATTCATCCAGAGTCGTATTTAACAACCCTCTGGACCAAATCTGTTCACTCTTTGCCTAGTACTTTATGGGAGACATATGCATATGCATTGGTTTAGCGATTAAATCCAAAATGGCTGACTGCATCCATCTTTTTTTTGAACATGTTCTATCTTGGACATGCTTTGTTGGTTTTCATTCAAATTTGGTACATACATTATACATGGTTGTATACATGGCCATGAGTTAGCCATCTTGTTTGCATTTTACTTGAGTTTGGACACTGAAATACGGTAGCATAAATATGAAATACGGTAGCATAAATATGAAATACGGTAGCATAAATATGAAATACGGTAGCATAAATATAAAATACGGTAGCATAAATATAAAATACGGTAGCATAAATATGAAATACTGTAGCATAAATATGAAATACGGTAGCATAAATATGAAATACGGTAGCATAAATATAAAACACAGTAGCATAAATATGAAATACGTTAGCATAAATATGAAAAATAATATATTCTATAAAATTGTTGACCATGTG